GGCCCCTTTTTGCACGGCCCCTTTTTGCACGGCCCCTTTTTGCACGGCCCTGGCCCGGGGCAGCTCACACCGCAGCCCTTTGGGCTGTGGCCCCGTATCAGTCCCCGCCGCAGGACAGGGCTCCGGGCTGCCTTTGAACTCGCGTCCCTTTGCTTTGCGAAGGGGCTCGGCCCCACAATCCAGCAGTTCTTTGCTCCCAAGCAGCTTAAGGGATTTTCTTTCCTCCTTTCCCTTTTTTAAGCCCCTCTGAGCCCTCCCACCTGCTCGATCATCTGGCGGACTTTGCGCTGCTGGCTTTTCAGCATGTCATCCAGGTGGTGTATCTTCTCCCGCAGCATGGCCACCTCCTTCTCCAGCTGGGCGGACCTGGGAAAAGGAGAGGAGGAGAGTCCAGGAGCCCTCGGACGGCTTCCCGGCACGGGAGCACCCACCCAGCTATGCCCAGAGCAGCTTTTAGCAGCCAGCTCTCCTCTACAGCCACGCAGGTCTTGGAATATTTTGACTAGACGAGGTAAGGAGAGGCAGAGACAGAACCCGTTCAAGCAGGAGCCACAAAGGCCACCAGCCACAGACTGCGGGGACACAGGAACATCAGGAAGAGTCAGGCCACAAACAAGGCCTTCCAGAAACGAGCCGTCGCCAATTAGCCCCGGGAGCACATGGATACCGGCTGGGTGGAATGAGTCCAACACTACGGGGAGAAGCGGCTGCTCCGGAGGCTCCCCAAACTGGGCAGGCCCTGCCCCGAGCTCCCAGCCCGCAGCGGGGCCGCTAGAGGTCTCCGGGCAGCCCAGCTCTGGAGCTCCGGATCTCTTGGAGCAGGGCAAAACTGCGGGAGGTATTTGGAGATTAGTCAGCTCCTGGGAGCAGGGGGCTGTTTTGCAAGCCGGAGAGCAAGCACGCCCTGCGCAGGAATGTGCAGTCATGCCCCAGCGAGCTGACACCCCGACCCAGCGGCGTGGGCTTGCTCTGGCGTTGGCAGCCGAGCCGGAGGCCAAGCCTCACCGGTCTTGTTCGGCGAGCTTGTCACCTTCCACGCTCCTCAGCCTCGCCAGCTCGGCTTCGCCTTCTTTCATCTTCAGCAGCAAGCTCCTGTGCTCCTGCGGCAGAGCGAGAGGCCGAGTCACACGCACAGAAGCAGCAAGTCGCAACACGTGCTCCTCGGCCCCCGCTGCGCAGCAGCAAACTGCAAGCGCCCGGGGAGCCCGGCGGGCTTGGCTCGGCCTCCCCGCTCCATCCGCGGGTTGTTTTCACGAGCCTTAAATACATGCGAG